CGAATCGCTTGGAAGTAGGCATGGTGAAGGGCGCGGGATGAACAACTTGTGTCATCAATCGACGGAATGTACGTGTAGAAGGTAAAGTTGAGGGTCAATGGGTCTGTTTGAAAGACGAGGTTTGCAGGATTCGCCAGCGGGCAGCCAGACGAACGCGTGACAAGGCAGTGCGGTTCGCCCCGTGGCGTGTGTCGTTGGACGGATCAAGGGGAGTCGTACAGGGCCCAGTTGCAGTGGATGCGGATGGGCGTGGGCGACGTCGACAGCGGAGAGCGAGAGGCTGGAGCGACCCAGAGATGGAGCTGGTAAGGTAGGCGGTGGACCTTGAGAAAGAATGGATACGGCGCAGCGGCAGTTGAGGTCGTCGACTCTTGAGAGATTGAGAGACGGCAGGGCACGTCTGGAGCGAGATTGACTTCTTGTCCAAGGGTTTTCTGAGCTGTGGTGGCGTAGTAAAATGATCAGCAGCGATGCGCTGTGAATTCGTAGTGTACGGATGGATACCGCGTGGTCTGTACCCGGCACTCGTATTATGTATGTATATAGTTGGATGCAGGCCGCAGGGTACTGCAGCAGGTTCGGTCGAAGTGATTCCGGTGGGCTCGATATTTGTGCTAGACCTCTTGGAGCGGTCGTATCAGCCCGCTAAGGTGTCGAATGCGAGTCGAGTACGAGGCCATAGAATACGGCAATGTGTGCGTCTTGGAGCTCGATATTCGATCTTCCACGTCTCAAGGGCCGCAGAAACGTGTAATTGCAGCGAAGGCTACCAGAGAGAGGGAAGACGGCGAGAGGAGAGAAAAGCCAAGCAGGAAAAAGAGGCCCGGGGGTGGTGGGAAAGATGAAGGGAAGTGAGAGATGACGGGGGTCCTGACTGGCAATGAGTATGCCTGCCAGCGTAGGAGTCTGGACGTAGGGGAATGAAAAATGAGCTTCGTAGTGCGGTTTCTCTGGCTGGTGTGAGCGAGCGAGCGAGGACTGGTGCTGGTGCTGGTCTTGCTTGGTGGCAGTCTTGGTGCTGGTGCGCGTTGCTTGACGTGGATTGAATGGCTGATTGGGATTGGGATGGGACGTGGATGGGATGGGAAGGGATCCAATTGGATTGGGGGACCTGGCCTGTGGGAGTCGGGTCCAGTGGATTTGAGATGTACTGCAGGGGTCCAGCACCCTGTGTTTGTCAGTGCCAGGTGGTTCCCCGACAGTGGATGCAGTGACTGTCAGGGGTGTGCCTTGTAATTGTTTTTCTAGAGGTCTGCCGCGCACGGGAAGAAGAAAGTGAAGTGAGCACAAGAGCGCACGCGGTGCCTGCTGCTGTGCGAGGTGGTGGAATAACCCGAGACCACCAGTTGATTGGGTGTTGATTAGCTGGGCTGCCGGTCGTTGGGAGGACACTGCAAAATGCCACGCATCAAGACGAGGCGCAGGTCTGGACTCGTGATACTGGACTTCTGTACGTGAGGAGCAGCTGCCCAACAATGGAAAATTCAGTGGAGGGGCCTCCGGGAAATGGGCCTTCCAAGGGCACATTGACCATGGAAGGGCACGCACGGGCAGCAAGGGAAAAAAGCACAGGTGCGCCTGTCAAGCCACTCAATCTGGGGACCAAGGACGGAAAGTGACACTGACACGACACCGACACCGAGTCACCGAAACGGACGTGAATGGCAGGCAGGAAGGATTCAAGGACGGGAGGTCACTTGTCTGTGCTGTTGCCTCCAGCAGAAGCAGCAGCAGCAGCAGCAATACCTAGACTTGATGGACATCGCCAGCAACACTTCCATTGCCAGTGAATGTGTCGTTTGCATTAATGGCTTACATAAACTTGCATACTCTTACACCAGGCAGAAGGTACGCAACAAGGTTCGCATTATCGACTTCCTAAACACTGCTATTTTCCACCACCGCCCATCCCAACACTCCCCAATGTCAAACATCGAGCATGATCTGCGCTGCTACTCGAGTCACAGAGCCTGTCCTTACAGCGCCCTCACCCTCGTCTAACCATCAACATGGTGGATGCCCAGATGCCCTGCATCCATCATCCATATTTATGCCGCGGCAGTCAGCACCAAAATCCCACGAAAGCTTGCCCGTTGCAGCCACTGACAAGCAGAGAAACCAGCTCCCAAGATGCACCGAAACACGGCCTGCAGGAAATTGTCCGTGAACCTGCACCTTATAGATACTGGGCGACAAGTTCCTTCCATGAACACCTGGGCTGGACGCTGGCGCGGCACAGCGTCACGCCCGCCATGCCTGGAATTCTGCTCTGGGGCCTCGATATCTTTGATTGCATCTGATAGGGCACGCACCTCGACAATATCACCTTATCTTATTCACCTCCATTCCTCCGAACCCGTTCGCAGAGCAATTTCATCATCTCCTAGACACGAGCATTTCTCCTCCTCCTCTCTCGACCAAACGACCCAAGCCCCCAAAACCCGGCAAACAGCTTGCCTGACCTGAAATGTCTTGCAAGTTCTCTCCCTCAGAGACGTCGCTCCCGTGGCACAACAGCACCGCCCACCTCCTATGCAAGTCCCACCACCATCATTTGGAACCGTTCCTGAGCTAGCAGATCGCGCCCACGCACCTCGACCAAGCAGACCTCACCACCCAGCCCGATCAACCCTGCCCCGGCAATCCGGTTGTCAGCCCGCGTCCAACGACCTGGCAAACCTTCCTGACAGAGACGTGCGACCGTCCCTCTCAATTGGCATGCCATTCTCGAGAGGACGCCAACCCGACCAGTGCCGTCAGGAACCGTTGCGCCCAGCCGTGGCACCAGAAATTCCCGTTTCAGCGATGGAAGCCGGCCAGGGCTTCTGCCGCAGACGGGGGGTTACGCACGAGGGAGGCAAGGAGGCCGCATTGCGAACGCGCCGCCTTTCCAACAAACGTCAAACGTTCCCCCTCCGTTGCCGATCCAGCTTTTCCAGATTCCCGTCCACCCGCGGCGAGGCCGCCTGCCGTTGACCGCGTGTGGCTGCGTGGCTGCCTCGGACACATTGAACCTCTCTCTCTGTCTTGTCGCCATCGTCACTACTCTCCCTCTTATTGCCTCGTTGCTCGTTACACGACCATATTCGGTGCGAGTCAACCTCACCGAGCCCATGCCATCTTCATCTTGGCTAAATGCTCGCGTTTCCAGCCCACACTCCAAGCGAGAAACATTGGATTCCCAACTGGGAAAGCAGCCCCATCTCGAATCTCCTCGCGTGCAGCCCGCTAGCAGTGATCCCCACGACCACGACCCACGACCCTTGATCCTTGGGCGCGGTCCCTTGGCCTCCCTCTCCCTCTTCAACCTTCCGCGACCACCCCTCGCCAAACGCTGCCAGGTCACCCCTATTCGCGACTTGCTTTTTCTTTCCACCGTCTGCTTCATCCGAAAAGTAGAGTCCGCAATGCCGCATTAGCTGCAGATGCGTCTCTCTGCTCTAATCCGAGACAACGATCGCAAGCTCCCAATACGGTATTCAAAGATAGAATTCAGGCCATCCCACTTCCTATGTCATGCCTTATCGCGTCTGCCCAGATGTACACCGTTTCATGCAGCCCACCACGCGGCGGACGAGTTCGTCCCCGCTCCTCGGATCCCAAGGCCAGGGAGTTGAAACATTTAATGGAAACGGGAAAAAAAAGATGGACGGTCTTTTGCCGACCTGCCCGCATGCTTACAGAGAAACATTTCCGCGTGTTTGTTTCTTCATCTTTCTTCCGCGGCTATCTCCGGATGCAATGACCAGTCATGGGTTAATCGCGAACTGCCCGCCTCTGGGGCCTTTTGCCCAATCTGGCCGTTCTAGCCAGTTCAATATCCGCGTTTTTTGCACAGGGCAATGGCAACAACGTCGCACCGCGATCCACCCTGCCCGACCTGTCAGAGCGTTTGCGCCGAACGTGGCTCCGTTGAGCTGATTGAGTGCTTGGTCAGGCATCATCCATTTTCCGGATCCTGGCCTACTGCGGTACAAGGCAGCTTGCGTACCATGGTGTGCACATCACCCGGCGCTCAATCTTGCGCTTGGGAATGCCGGCCACGAGGAGGCACAATGACTCGAATAATAGCGACTGCCGCGACGTTGCCGATTGCACTGCAGCACATGTCGGCGAACGGCAGCCATCCGGAACGGTGGGCGGCCCAGCGCTTGTCTTCAGCCGACCGAAAAGAGAGGGTATCCCTTCCGGAGCTTGGGATGTTTCTGCCGAGTTGACAAATCCGTTCGGGGAGCGGCGCATCTTTCATCGTTCTCGCACTGGCCCTGGTCGGCCCGGCACGGTACCATCAGACGACTGTTGCGCTATGATGCCCGACAGCGGAACTTCTCCGAATTATTCCAAGAACGGGCCCGTGCAGCCCGCGGACGCCTCCACAGGCTGACGGTTCGTGGGTTGAAGGCATTCGCGACTTGGTTTAGGGACGTAGCGGAGACGGCACGTCTTAGACGAGGTCGTGGAGGGGTCATCGTTGACAACCGCGGCCGTGCGCGTGCTGCTGCATCCACCCAGGGTCCTTTGTGTAATTGGACCTGGCGGGGTCCCATCAGTAAGCATATCTTTGACAGGTTCGAGATATCCATTCCAGAAGCATGGGTGAGTTGAAGACTCGGCCTTTTGTGAGACTGTGAGTATTGTATTGTGCTGTGGATGCTGCAGGTGAAGGTTTGCCCAGGATCGACTTTCGGGTACCTCCTCCTGCGCCAGCACCACGTAGATTCCGACTGAGAGGGATTCCATAAGCCCGCTGTAATCATCACTGACGGGTTTCTTGTAAAAGTGTACTCTTGCCGCCACACTTAATTTGATGCAATTTGTTTGTGTAACCGCTGCTTAAAGCAGAACTCGGAAGATCCTACTACTGAAGGGAATCGTAGCATGAACATAGGGTGTAACGCATATCCAAGATTATTCTCAATATTCAGACAAGATATAACAGTGTACTAGGTTGCTACAAAAATATACAAATCGCTCATTTCATTTACACAAACTTCGCTCCTTTACCTCGCGCCCCTCCAGCTCCCCCCAGCAGCAGCAGCCCCGTTACCAGGCCCGCCCCCTCCCCTCCTCCTCAAATTCAAGTTCGTCGACGCCCGCGACCAGTCGCCCGCAGACTTCTTCAGCCGGTTCCCGAGACTGATCCGCGCGGCGCTCATGACCGCGGCGCCGCCGCCCTGCATCCGGCTCGGGATCCCCGCCGAGCTCGCCACGCTCTCCCAGTCGTCCCTCTCCACCTCCTCGTCAGGCTCCTCGATCGCCGGCGGCGGGAGCATCAGCCCCTTGCCCATGATCCCCTGCGTAGCCGTCGACGCGCCGGCCGAGGTGGCCGTGCCCGGGGTGGTGGCGGCGGTTGGAGGCGGCGCCTTGCGCAGCGCGCCCATCATGGCGGCCCAGCTCTCGACCTGTCCGTGGGAGGCCTCCTCGACACAGTTGCATTCGTCGCCCGCGGGGCAGAGGACCTCGCCCGCGGCGTGCCACTCGGCGAGGCAGGCCTCGTGGGAGGCGCAGCCGCAGCCCAGACAGGGCGGATAGAGCGCGTCGACGGGTTCGCGGCAGTACACGCAGAGGAGCTGGGTCTGGGTGCGCCGGCAGCGGTCGCAGGAGCCGACCGCGCCGCCGAAACGGGTCGCCGTGGCGGAGGTGTACTTGAGCGGCTCGAGCTGGGTCTCGTGGATGCGGCAGACGCCCGTTACGTCGAGGCCGCGGCCAGACGCGACGAGGGCTTGAAGCTGTTCCTTCTTGCCGAGGAGGATTGGAGACGTGGTCTGTGGTTGTGAGGTATGCTGGGGCTGGTGGGTGTGGTTGCTGGGGTGTGTCGGAAGGGATTGTGATACTTGGTGCTGCTGCTGGGGTTGGTGGTGTTGTTGGATCGTGGTTGATGTTTCTGCGATGCTGTGGATCTCGTGGAAGGAGTCGTCGAGGCCGTGTATCTCTCGCTGTTGGAGGACGTTGAACTTCATAATCTCTAGCCGGGCTAGGGGTTGGTTCCACATCTGGAGGATCTCCGCGTAGACGTAGCGATAGGTAGCGTACATGTCGCTGCGGCTGGGCTCGAGCAGCGGCGTGTTCATCCAGCCGTCGTCGTCGAAGATGGTTTGGTCTTCCATGTGTATGGAAACGCGTGTGGGTACAAGCGAGAAGAACTCTTCGCGGTAGACTTCGTCATCCGAGAGGGATGTGCGGGTTGTGCCCGAGTCGCCCACGATCGTCGAGTGTCCCCATGTTACGTTGTTGATGGCGCTGGGGGCGAGCGTGCTAAGGATCGTATCGGCTGGACTCGGGCGTTTCCGTCCATGATTAGGTGGCGATGAAGCTGCCGTTGCTGTTCCCGTGTTGACCCCGCTGAAGGGGCGCGGGAAGTTGATCGCGAAGCTTGATGTAAGGCCAGAGTTGGCTCTCGACAGAGCCCGACCGCTGGGCGACGTGGAGAGACTGGGTGTTTGGTCGCCTTCATGGCCGAGGTAATCCCTCACGCCCTTAGCCGGGGGAGTCTCGCCGCATGAATAAGAGTTGGACGCCGGGTCCCCGGTCCATAGCGCTTCTTCGGCGGATCCCTGAGAGCCAGAGTATCTGATAGGGGTGTGCAGCGTCCGCGGCGTGGTGATGGCGGAGTTGGTCTGGCTTCCTGCGTTGAGATTCCATAGCGACGCGTCGGTAGGAAAGTAGTCGAGAGAAAACGATGGTGCCTTCATCGGCAGTGGCGTCTCCGGCTGCGTGAGATGAGACTCGGCATACGCGACGCTGTCTTCCGTGAAAGACTCGCTGAAAAGGCATGAGAGCATGGCTAACATCTGTATGTCTGCCGTCTTCTCAAAGTACTCAAACAAGTCATTGATGAAATCCTTTGCCAGCGGATGATTTCCCCACTTGACTCTGCCGTTGAAGTCGGCGATGTCCTTGGTAGACCGCTCGATATCGGATAGACCTTCGGCACGGAATCGTGAAATGGCGTCTCGAGCAATCACCAGGATCGCGTCCTGGCGCTGGTCCAAGTTTAACAGCTCCAACGGGATGTCTCGCCGTAGGAGCAATGAAAGATAGCGCCAGACATCCACCAGATCCTGGCAGCCGTGCTTCTCGGCTACTTGGGCATTGTGCTCGCATACCTGGGCGCCTTCACCAAAGATGGCATACTCCTTTGCGAACTCCTTTTTCGCTGGGAGAATATCCGATATGTCATGAAGAGAGACAACGTTCTTTGACTTGGCGGGTCGCCTCCTGAGTGACCCAGTGCCAGTTCCAGTGCCGACTCCTGTGCCTCCGCCACTCGATCTAACAGAGCGGTTGTCGCTCCAAGTTCTTCGGAATCGATGGCGGGGTTGATACCACAGACTCATCTTGTTGATAGACGTGGACTCTGAATCACTGGATGAGGACGACCCATCGGACTCATCAGAATCAGACTGATCGTCCGTAGCTGACATCTCGTCATTCCCATATCTTTTCCCTGGAGGCGAGTCGTGAGCGAGGCGACCGAAACCAGCAAACACGGGTTCCCCCCTAGGTCTTTCGCGGAGTGGTTCGATCGGCGCAAACAACAGGGCCTTTGCCTTCTCTTCCTTGGTAGGAAAGAAGCATACCAGTCGCCCATCGTTGGAAAATCGGGCGCCACAGAACCGCGGCAACGGGGGAATCGTAGGCCTGTTATTTGGGGCCAGTGTGCTGTCGGCCTCTGCATTCGGAGGCAACTCCTGTGACATTGACGCTGAGCCACCTGCGGGTATGTCGTTCTCGTCTTCGCTTGAACTCTCGGAAGCAAGATCCAACGGATCGTCTAGGTCTTTGACGTTCTTAAAGAAGTTGGTACTGGCTGCGAGGTCAATCTCGCCCAAAAGGTAGGAGAAGGCCACATCTAAGCAGTTTTGCTTCTGCTCCAAGAATTGATGACAGAGCTCGTGGAGCTCATGCTCAACCTTTCTGTGTGTTCTCTCCGGCATGAAGCTCGTTTTCTCGACATAGAAGCGAGGGGCTTTGTACTTTGGGTAATTGGAAGGGATATCGACCCTAACCTTGATAAAGATGGTGTCTCCGTTTTTCCCCCATGGGCCGTTCAGCGAGGCGTGCAGAGTCAGCGAGTCCATGTCGATTTTATCCCATTTCACCTTTGGCAGCTGCGTGCTGATGCGCAGAAACTCATCTTGGATGGTCTCTGGGTCGGCCCATTTATCGTCGTCCATATATCCCGGGCTGAACATGGTCGAGTCCTTCGAGTCTGCTCTTCGCGGGCTGTCGGTTGACGCCTTTCTCTTGTTCATCATGATGCCCTTCATCCATCCTATGTGCGCTTGGCTGCGGTCCATCTCTTTAGAGTTGCTCTTAGCTTTCATGGATGAACCTTTCCAAGCAGCTCCCAGTCTCGTGTAGGTGGTTGGCCCTGAGCGCATACCCATAGTCAAGGCGCTCTGCCGCGAACCGGTGCGGGGATCGCTCATCGTGGCACTCCTCCTGTCTCGGCTCACGCTGTCCTCCACCGTTCGGAACGTTTTGTAGGAGGCGCCCTTACGTGTCAGAACGAGATTCTTACTAGCCGGCTGCCCCTTGAGGTAGCCCACCGACTCGAGGATCGACGGTTCGACATGCTGGAGACGTAGCTCATTGTCTTCTCCCCACGAGACCAACTGAAATTCTCTATTATCCAAACCCTCCTCATCGATGCTGCCTCTGCTCCTCCACAAGAACTCCTTGACCTTGTGGTTGCCGTGTCCCTGGAAGATGGCAAGAGGGCCTGTTGGACCCTCCTTGGGTTCGTTAGGGGCAGCTTGGCTGTCGTACAAATGCAGATCGCCTGGTTCATTCTGAGGCATAGCTAGGAGGCCCCGGCCAAACGGGGTATGACGAGCGCGCCACACCGGGAACTCGGTACGAATGACGCGTTCCGGAACATCTTGATCGCTTCCATAGTCCCAAAACTTGATGTGCTTGTCCAAGGAGCAGGTTACGATTCCCGTAGACCGGGTTCGGTTCCAGTCGATGCCGTAAATCTTTGATGTGTGCGCACTGATAGATTTCAGGGGTTCGCAGGCGCGTCGCTCATCCCAGATGTGCAACCACCTATCGTGAGACGATGCCAGGATGTGCGGGTCCTGGCGGTTGTACTTAACTTGGGTGGCGCCGGCGAACCAGTCGCAAAATGTGAGTACAGGTTGTCTTGGGCGTCTAAGATCCCAACAGTGTACGTAACCGTCGACAGCGCACGACGCGAGCTGATCTGGATGGTGCGCCGACCAATTGATGTCGGTGATGGCTCTGCTGTGGCCTTGGAGAGAGTGCTCTATGGCGCCTGATGCCGAGTCGTCCCTCAAGTTGAGATTCCATACGAGAGCGCGATGGTTAGCTGTCGAGACGACCCAGTAGTCGCGAGCGGCGAAGGGTGACCATTGAACGTCGGTAACGAGCCATGGTGAGCCGTGGCTGCTGAGGCGGCGAGGGGGATTGTACGGTGAGTCAAGATCGATGATGGACAAGCCTTCAGGTCTGGAGTTAAGTCAGCAGGGGAACGTCGGCTCAGTCGCATCCCAACTCAGATAACTCACGATGCTAAGGCGACATCCCTGCCCGAAGGTGCAATCGTCGCTGATCCCACGAGTCCGGCGACATGGATGGTTCCATCAGCATCGAAGCTTTCGCTTTCGAAAGCTGATCTGATAGGTTTGCCCTTCTTTGGAGGGTCAAGCTGGTCGAAGTGCGGCATGGTCGTAGTGGTAGCTTAGATGAGAGATGCCTCATGAGGGCATCTGGAGGTGAGATATGCTGGCCATGATACGTCGACCGTTCGCGAAAAGGAGCGTTAATGAGCGACTTGAGTATTTCCGAGCGAAGAACTGTTGGTTTTCCGATGTCCTAGTCGATATGCAGGATGGTATCGCAGGTATTTGATGAGGCTCGCAATTCGATGCACGCGACAGGATCAGATGCAGCTGCAGCTGAGCGTCCTGACCTGAACCGTCACTCGTGGCTGGACGGACGACAGCTTTGACCCACTTTGATAATCTTGTATCTTCCCAGAGAAACTTCGCAGTGATATACATTCCTCAAAAGAGGTCATCGAGCCAATCAAAGCACGCCCAAACCGGCGCATATCTCCACTCTGTCATCGGGCGTCAAGTTCCCAGGCCGCCCATGTCATGCTTGTCCCTCCCGCGGGGCAGTTCTGCTGAGCAGGCTTTCCCAAGCACATGCCCGCCTTACACATCTTGCCTGCCTTGTGTTCGAAACACTAGAGCCGATTTCTCGCCGCCTGTCACTCCATTAAGGCTTCCCGAGCACCCGACTTCCATTGCCTTTTGCGGTTTCCCTCTTCCGGTACACGCGACTTCGATTTGACGTCTCCGACCCGGAAGACGCCTCCCTTTGTGAATCACCAACCCACTTGGCCCCGCCAAACACCGCCATTCACATCCACCACCGGGGACCGGCACAGAGCATCTTCGAATCGCCTCTTTCGTTTCCTTCTTCAAACAACCCGAAAATACCACTTTCCTCGTCGCCCAACATGGCTTTGCCCAAGCGTATTGTCAAAGAGACCGAGCGTCTCATGGCCGAGCCGTAAGGGTCCTCCAAGCAACCCAAGTCTTACGACGAAATACTGACGAAGGCCATCTGCACAGCGTCCCGGGCATCAGCGCCGTTCCCCACGAGGACAACCTCCGCTACTTCGACGTCGAGATTCACGGTCCTTCACAATCGCCATACGAAGGTTCGAACACACCTGCCATATTGCGCTAGTAATGGTGGACTGACGAGACTGCAGGTGGTGTCTTCAAGTTGGAACTCTTCTTGCCTGACGACTACCCCATGACTCCCCCCAAGATCCGTTTCCTCACCAAGATCTTCCACCCCAATGTCGACAAGCTCGGCCGTATCTGCCTTGACGTTCTGAAGAGTGAGTGTTCTGCAGATTGAACTTTTTCTGGTGCGCTAGAGCTAACAAAGAGCTTCCATTGCAGACAACTGGTCCCCCGCCCTCCAGATCCGTACCATCCTTCTCTCCATCCAGGCCCTTCTTGGTGCCCCGAACCCCGACGACCCGCTTGCTGCCGATGTTGCCAAGAGCTGGAAGGAGGATGAGCAGGCTGCCATCGCGACAGCCAAGGAGTGGACCACCAAGTACGCTGTTCCCAAATAGACGGCGCGATCGAAACGGGGACAGGGATGCTGCAATGATATGGACGAAACGGTGCGCATGAGCCATTGCGACACTTTCCTTAGACCGATTCAGAGAAGATAGCGAAGACATCGGCTCTATTTCACAAACAGTCTCGTGGACTACGTAGAAAGGGGGGCTCTTTCAGGTATTTTGGGCCGGAGTTGCAAGTTGGAGATGCATTGCGGTTGCTTTTCTAGTTCAAAGGGAGGCATATGTGCATACCGCCACAGTGACTATTGACACTGAAGAAGGATCCCTTTGTTGCCATTCTACTTACTTATTTGTGATCTCAAGCGATTTAGGCTGGTCTGGGACTTGCGATGTCATTCAGCTATCTCACTCAATAATATTATGAGGAGGGTAGGCGCCCGTCTCTGAGTAGCACCATGTCAACCACAACTTGGGTTCTATGGACTGGTCGAAAACACGTCATCTCCTCCCCCAAATGGAGATGGACAATGTATTTAAGGAGTTTCCCAAGGCAAGAACCTTCTTAATCCGACTGGGCCATGAAATCCAAAGCTACGGGCTTTCTTTCGTAACCAGGCCAATGGAGTTCGAAGCCAAGCTTACCGGCAAATCGGCTCTGCGCTCAGAAGCATTGAGTGCTCGTGTCGCTTGGCTGCTGCGCCGCTGCCCAGATGGATACACGAACGAGACGACCATACTTATCATCTGCTACCGCGACCACATTCAAGTACAGCTTAACTGGCCATCGCTCAATAACACGTCTCACTCAAATTCAGTGCGCTCGCACGACAACGGCAACGTCAACCAACATCTGCCATGGATATCCTTTCTGAACACCTACCCCCAAATGCCATGAACCACAACCCATCGACAGAGTATCCTTGTGGGACACTGTCAGCATGCCCCATAACGAGCCCACCTCTTCCACAGTTCGCCGTTATTCTGTGGCTTCTCGCGCCACCATCGGGGTTGGTCTGGCTATTCATCGCGCTGCACTTCCCTTTGCGTTTTACGAGAGTGTTGATCGATCTCTTGAACTTACTGGAGAAGATCATAATCTCATATCGTGTCTGGAGGAGGGACCACACTTTGGCGGAGGCATTCTAGCTTTTGGACAAAAAGTCCAAGAGGAGGCAACGCAAAGGACCGGTAACTATGAGTCCAAGCTGTTGATTCTGGGAAAAGGAGGCAACCTGTTGGGTCGCCCAGTGGCTTTGCAGTTCTCAGCGCTGGTTTTGGTCAACCGTCGCTGAGGTTCAGGACACTACAGAAGTAGAACCCCGCAAATCCGGTTTCTCGCGGCCTAGAACATTTGCTCAGGAAAGATGAGCCCATTGTGGTCATAGAAGATCGTCCAGACCGAAAGCCCTAGGCAAGGAAGGCTTCAGAAATCCTCGATCTCGGTTTATTGTCATGGTTAGCGCCGATGGTTTAGTGGTAAAATTCTCCGTTGCCATCCAGCAGCGTCGGGGAGCCGGGGGTTCGATTCCCCCTCGGCGCAGTTTTTTGCAGCGGGAGACTATGATTTTGCATCTACACTACACCTAAATCGATGGCTTTTTGCCTCAAACAACTTTCTTACTCCCGAGAGCAGTGTAGTTCACCATTTTTGTTAACCCCATCACACGAGATTTATCATTTCGTAAAAGCCCCTACTGGCTTCAGAGGTGAGATCTGTGGACCCAATGTTGAAGCTGCGTAGATCAGTCTCCCCAATAAACTCATATGTTCCGGGTTCGCCTTCTTTCCGTGACTTGTTCTCGGATTCGGAATCGATCCTGCGCAAGATGCACGGAGTACGAGCACCTTCTAACAGCCATACCTCATCGGCCTCTCGCACTGTCATGGGGCCTAGCCCAAGTTCATCTCCCTCAGTAGAGTAAATGTATCTGTCTACCAGCTCCGCTCGGACGTGGTCGTCTGAAGACTCGGTATGCCGTGGAGCCAGTAATCCAGATGGTGATGCCTTCAAATATCGGTACATAGCTCCCGCTAAGCTGTTTGAGCTGCTGGTATTAAGTCCCCTGAGCACGTCGAGAGAATTGTCATTGGACTTGGCGTATGCCAGCGTCTTCCAGAAACCGCTGATGTTGGCTGGTGTCTTCACTGCTGAACCATTGTCTGGGACAGAGCCCGCAATCAAGGCATGTATACCTGGCGACTTCCACTCGAATGGCTTGTCGGCGCCTACCTCTAGCACAGTGTCCAACAGAAAGCCGTGGAGATAGATGACAGATCCTACCAGCTTTGGACGCCTCAGGTCACATCCCCAAAGATTGATCTCAATGTTCTGTAGCTCGGTATTGCTCATGTTCAAGTACCGGTTGATGGGGAAGTTCCAGTTTGCCACTGGATTGCGCACTTTCTCCACAGAATAGTCAGGTACCCAAGATGGCAGCGAAGAGTATCGTCGAGCAGAGCTTTTCTCAATCCGAGACAATTCCGTTAGCAACGGAGCCTTCGTCAAGAAGAGGCCAGCGGTAGAAGTGAAGACATCCTCGACCGTGCTCTGATAGTCTGGAATGATGGGACTTTCGCAGCCCTGTGGCAAGAGCATAGAGAGCATCCCTAAGCATCCGTAGATGTGGTCGCGGTCGTCGCCAAATCTTGAGGAGCGGAGTGAATTGATCAAAACGTTGGCGCATTCGAGCCATTTTTGTTCCAGTTTGCCGTCCCAGGTAGAACCAGTATCAGCATCCATGACGAGCCCCGTCTGTTGGGCAACCTCAGCAAGCGACGTACGGGCCTGGCTGATTTTTAGAATTCTCGAGCTGACTCGAGCGGGGTATGCAATTCTCTTGTTCTCGAAACTTTTGAAATTCCCAGCGGCGGCGGTTATCTCGATTTGCTCCATGAGAGTCGAACTCCAGCCGGTCTCCTGAAGAAACTGGGCAAAGGCAGCAAGTCGTTTCCAACTGAAAACAGATCTCCCGCAACATACGTAAACATTGGAAGGATCTGAAAGGGCGACTTCCTGCACGATCCAGCCGCGGTCGAACCAACATTGGCGGTCGATATAGATGGCAAATCGAAGCCACGCTGAGAGCCAGCGGGAGCATAGCTCATGTCCCAACTCCTCTGCCATAGCTGCCGAGCTGCACATCGGATCCTTCCTCAAGTGCTTTTCCATGAAGTCCGGCTTCTTCCTCGTGAGTTTGGAGATGGCTGGGATGAACTTTTCGTGAACCCAGAGAACATCTGGGTGTGGTTGTGTGGGCCCTAGCCAGACAATGACATGCCTTGCCGCGCTGTATATCCTGTGCATAAGGAGAACTTGATGCCGCTTCTCCTCGGAGTCACTCTGATTGATGCAGAAGGCGTCTATCCACAACGGTAGAGCCCCCAGTATGCCATTCACCTTGGACACCAAATTTGTCCTGGTATCTGGTGGATTAAGCCCTTCAGCTTTCGTCTCGGAGGCGTGAAGCGCGGCGCAAAGGAAGCTGAATAGGTTTTCGGAGATTGCCATGACCTTCCCGTCGCAGATTACGTTGATTATTGCCCCGCAATCTTGGTCTTCCAAGTCGTCCTGATTGCCGTATTCAGGAAGTTTCCAGGTGTAAGACAATGCCACAAAGTCTGGTTGGTCATCCAGCTGTGCCTCCTTCAGCGAGAGGAGCATTCCATGAGGCTGGTCATCTGCCCTTGAGATTGTGAGCAGGCGGACTGAGTCGGCAGCCGATAGTGCTCGATATCGATAGCCGTATTCTGTCGGGACCGCCATGCCTCAATGAGGAAGTAGGAGGTGAACGCGCGGAGGGAAACCGAAGAGAAAGACAGATCAATCGGGTCCAGGGAATATAGTGAGGTTGTTGTGGTCCAAAAGGTGTTGTTGAGTGAATCTCTGCTTACTGTGTAGTACAGCCACATGACCAATACGGCTTATGTACCGTAGGTACAGTGGAGGGAAAGCAGCCTATCACGTCACACTGCATGCTTGAACACCGTGACATTGTACAACTCTTTCGAGATCAGATTTTTTGATGATTGAAGTTCAATTCAGTTATACTTTTCATAGCTCGCTCAAATCACTACACATTACAGTCTATGCCCAAACTCCGATTCAGTCCCTTCTTCAAATTTAGAAACCCCACTGTCTGCACCAGTTCTGCATCAGCTCAGGCGTGACGGCCTGCATCTCCTTCATCGCCTTGCTGTGCTTCACAGTGCGCTCCATGGAGAAGTCAACACCCTTTCCTCCGCTGTAAGCCAGGCCCTGATAGAAATCAAGAAGCTTGACACCAGGGTTCTTGTCAACGTCGTCGGTGGAAGAGGCACTCTCCTCCAGAGCCTTGACCCACTCCTTGAAGGAAACGACCTTCTTGATGCGGTCGCCGTAGAAAGACTTGACCGCCTCGGCAAGCTTCTCCCACTCGACGGTGCGCGGGTTCACACCGTGGAAGTAACCCCTGATGTTCTGCAGGGGAACAGGCTCAGCGATGCCGGAGACCTCGAGAATGAGGCTGGCAATGCCCTCGATGGGAGTCCAGTTCACCAGACCCATGGCGCCAAGGTCCTTGGGCAGGAGACCAAGGTAGGCGGAGCTGGCGACGATGGTCGGAAGCCACTCTTGACGGTTCCAGACACCAGACTTGGACTGAGGACCAGCGACCTGGCCGACACGGACGATGGCAGTAGGAACACCAGAGCGTTGAGTAGCCTCGTCAAGGATGAGGGAGCTGACCATCTTGGAGCGTCCGTAGCCGGTGCTGGGAAGAGACAGGTCCATGAGTCTATTCTCAGGGACAGGGCCAGGGCCAGGCCAGGAGTCGACAGTGCCGATACTGCTGATGAAGATGATGGGGACGTTCTTCGCAGCGCGGAGTGAGAAGTCGACCCAGTGGCGGACACCGCGGATGTGAGGCTCAAAAGTCTCGACGGAGATGTTGAAGTTGACGGGCCATGCATTATGGATGACGCGGTCAGCCTCCTTGAGCAGTCTGTCGTAAACCTCGGGCTCGAGGCCAAGGTTGCTCTTGGACATGTCGGCGCAAAGGAACTCTGCCTTC